AGATCTGCTCGTTTTTCGTCTCCCTGGTTTCCGAATCTCCATTTTTCGTACTCATTGAGCTTCAAAGCTTACTCCAAGGTTCCAGACGTTCATTTTTGTTCTATAATTGCTTGTTTCCCTTTTCATAATGTTGATTTTCTGATGTGGGGTTTCATTAGATTTGTAATATTGCCGTTTTCTGAGGATGAACTTCATTTTCTTAGCTTTTCTAGACGTTTTTCCGTTTCTTCTCTTGTTTGAATTGCTTTCCATTTAAGGTATTCCATTTTCTTTGGAAATTTCTTCTGATTTTCGATTGTGGGGTGTGTTCGTTTCCGGATCTAATTAGTGTGGAACCCTAATGTTAGTTTGGTGAATCGAGGAGAATGGTATTTGTTGCTCTATGTTTTGATTATTGGGTCTAAAACTTGGTAAGTGTTCATTACATGCTGTTTTGTGGAAACCCTTTGAAGGTTTTTGCTTCCAGGATACGAACATTCAATGTATTGGGGTTCTTTTTTCTTTTTATCATTGTGTTCTGGGGATGAACAACATGAACAATATGGGTATTTTCTGTGAATCTTATGGCAAATGTGGAAGAAGTTGAATAAGTTGTATGGCTCATATGCAGATAGTGAAGCGTTTAATATTCAATGGACGGGATAGGAAGTGAAACTGCCTCAGCGGCAGCACCCTTGAGCCAGTGGCAACATGATGTTTCAAGGCTTTATCAATATTATCTTGATAAGACTACCCCACATGCCGTCTACCGATGGATCGGAACCCTTTTTGTATTGGCAATTTATGCATTGAGGGTCTTCTATGTGCAAGGGTTCTACATTGTTTCATATGGTTTGGGTATCTATATACTCAATTTGTTGATTGGATTTTTGTCGCCTTTGGTTGATCCAGAGATGGAAGTTTCAGATGGACCATTGCTGCCTACTAAAGGTTCAGATGAATTCAAGCCGTTCATTCGCCGACTTCCAGAATTTAAGTTCTGGTAACTATGAATTTCATTCATGAGATTTTCGCATCGTTTGCTTGATTGTATTTGGCTGGTGAACTTTGAAGTTTGCTCTTCTGTTACTTCGTAGTTTCAAATCTGATTCTATCATGTCTAGTCTTGTACTGAAAGCTTGTTTAAACTTGGTTGACTTTGGGGGGGTGGGGGGGCTGTGGAACGTAGGCAGTGGTGAAGGAAACTGACAGTGGGGTGTGCAGAATTTGGTTATGTTGTGAATATGTAAAAGCCCAAATATTGTCCTCTTTGAGCCTTCCCTTTCAGGCTTCCCCTCTTGGTTTTTAAAATGCGTCTACTACGGAGAGGTTTCCACACCCTTATAAAGAGTACTTGTTCCTCTCTCCAACCGATGTGAGACCTCACAATCCACCCCCTTCGAGTCCCTGCATCCTCGCTGACATTCGTTATCTCACAATCCACCTCCCTTCGGGGCCCAACGTCCTTGTTGGCACATTGTCCAGTGTCCACCCCCTTTGGGGCTCATCGTCCGTGCTGGCACACTGCCTAATGTCTAGCTCTGATACCATTTGTAACAGTCCAAGCCCACCGCTAGCAGATATTGTCGTCTCTGGGCTTTCCCTTTTGGACTTCCCTTCAAGGTTTTTAAAACGTGTCTACTAGGGATTGGTTTCCACATCCTTATAAAGAATGCTTCGTTCCCCTCTCCAATCGATCTGAGATCTCACAAAAAAAAATTTGTGCGCATCAAGTAATCTTGTGTGTTATATCTCTTGTCCATCGTGACCACTACTCTTTGGTGTCACTTTGGTGCTTGATGATGGGCTTTGTTTGTTATGCATATGGTAATGTTGAGATCCTGAATCCACATGGTCAGCCCTATTTTCTTGCACATGTCGCCATTTACTTGCATAGTTATTGATATCTCAAGAATTAGGAGATTATTTGTAATGGAATAGGAAGAAGTATTTTCCTGTGGCTCGGTAATTGAAACAAGACAAGGAGATTACTTTATTGTTTGGAAGAAGACTATATATGATCGGTTCTCATTGAAATTTTGATGGTCTTACAAGAACCTGGTCTCATTTAGCGTTATTATATTGTGTAGGTTAATACTTTCTTTTTACCTTTATCCTTTTCCCTTTTTAGTTTCGATTCCTTTCTTTTTCTTTCTACGTTGCTGGAGAAAGTTCCTTGACATTATAGATGTCATGGAGTATGACACTGATTCTAAAATATTAACCTCTTTGTTTGGTAACGATCTCGAATATTGCCTGGAGTCTTGGTGAAGTAGACACGTTCACAAGATAAAAACCACTCCATTTTTCTTCGCCATGAGAGAAAGGCCTTACTAAGCGTCTTCCAGTATTGCCCGCTAGCAGAAAGACTTCCCTTGATCCTTTGAACTTTTCCTTTCTTATGTCGATTTGTTTGGAAGAGCTCGTCGCCAGAAGGGTGTGAAACGTGAGCAACCGTTTTTTCCAATTTCATATTTGTGGACTTTTTATACCGACTTTAGAAATATTCATTTTTGCCTCATAGTTGATTAATCGATACTGTTACAGCACAGTTTTACTTGTGTGTTTATGTAGTTCTCTCTATTATTCGAATTTGAATCTTCGATAAACCAGTACTTGCATTCGTCGGTGTCAAACTTCTTGTCTGCCCCCATAACACCTTTCCCTTTTGGAAGCTATCATGATTTTGTTTATTCCTCATATAAATGAAAATTTGTGTTTGCAGGTACTCATTTACAAAGGCCTTTTGCACTGCCTTTGTAATGACCTTCTTTTCCATATTTGATGTTCCTGTCTTCTGGCCCATTTTACTTTGTTACTGGATTGTTCTTTTTGTCCTGACAATGAGGCGTCAGATTGCACATATGATCAAGTACAAATACATACCATTTAGTCTTGGAAAGCAGGTGACTTATCAAATACTTCTAATACATCGTGACATTTACTAGCCTTTCATATTCTCCATCGTTTAGCCGCTCGGGCGCTTTTTCAAGTTTTTCCTTTTGAGGAAATAAATATAATGTCACTTTAATCTATCACTTTCCCTTTTCCACACTCGTTCTCCCCTTTTATACGATCGACGAAATTGTTTCTGATCGAAAGAGATGTTTTGCAGAAGTATGGTGGCAAAAAAGCTTCTGCAAGTAGCGGTATCTCGAACGACGATTGATTCATGGCTTATTATTTACAGCAATTAGTACAAGTACTGAATGGAGGGGAGGAAGTAGAGATTTGGATATTCACAGTAGAAGAAATTTTTTTGGATTGAAGTTACTTGTAGTTAAGATTGCTTATGGATTTATTGATTGGGACATGGTTATATGCCAAACCCTTTATGATAACTGAAGAACTGCCTGTTGTAGAAATTGTCACTTTAATACGTGTCGTAATCTGGTTCGGTTGCAGGGCGTATTTGAAACCTTTTACACTTTTTATGTGGCTCTGCTGTGGACTGTTTAAGCTGGTAGTTGCAGTGTTTTTGTAGAATTCCCCAATGAGATGTGGGTTGGAACTGTGTGTGTGTGTGTTCTTAGATTGCGCTTGTTTTTGGTGCAAAAGTAATGCCTACACATTCAAGTTTTGAATTTTCTTTCTGCTTTAATTGTTTTTATTCTACTTTTTCAAGAACAAGGTAGCTTTGAATCTATCTGTTAAATTATTGAAAATACTCCTAAATGTAACATCAATATGAAGCTATAATGGTATTTGATATGAAAATCCTACTAATTTGAAATTAGGTACCTGTTGTTCTGAGAACCCCTAATCATGAATTACTCGAGACCCTCGAATCTATTCGATTTTAATTCCAAGGGAAGGGCTAGATAAGTATCCCTTGTCCTCTGGTGCTGTTCATGGTTTTGGGTCACTCGTGTTTGGTTTTTCTTTTGGTCTATTTTTGTTTGCACGTGTTATTTCCGTCCAGGACTGTTAATAGTTAGCTTCATTCAATCATCATTTACGTGTTAGTCGAATGATCATATGAAGCACATATAGCCATCAGTTCCGGATAAAATATTATCCTCAACTTGGAGTCTGGTTGTCTGCAGGAGGATGAGAATGGAGGCGATGGTTTTCAATCTGATTATGACTCTGATGAAAATCCACTGATGGTATCTCTTGATGACGGTGGAGAGCCAACTCAAGAGGAGATCGCAAACAAATGGTTCAGTCAGGATATTTTTGCTGAAGCAGTGGAGGATGGAGATTTGAAGGAGTTGGGTAGCGAAGATGATATGCAGGTTGATGGGCCAAAACAAAAAACTGCTGTCTCCAAAGTAGCCAAGTCAAATATTTCCAAGAATGCAAAAGACTCTAGTAAAGCAGATGATGGATTTGAAGTAGTCCCTGCCCCGGCTGGCTACAGATTCAAGCGACGATTCATCCGAGGATGAAGAGCCCGACACGAAGGCTGAGATATTGGCATGTGCGAAAAAGATGCTCAAAGGCTCCAAGAGGTAAGGGGGGATCTGATAAGGCTTCCAGGAAGAAGGGAAGTGAAGATGGGAGAAAATGTGTGCAAATGGCGAATCCGTGTAAGAGTTGATTCAGTTTTGATGTTCATTCTTTGCCCCATCAACAGCTATTGTTTGGAAGCTCTGCCAAAGTTAAGAGTATCAAATGTGACAGTGGTGAATGGCTTAAGGCTTCCTTTAAATTACCAGCTTGTTTGATAGCAGATCTCGGCCAACGATCTCGACGACCAGACCAACGGTGGACGTCACAACATCAACCTGCTGTATTGCTTCAACCGATTCTGAATGTCAAAGATTAGTGAGTTGAAGATTGAATTCACCTTGCTTAGGGTGTGAAATGTAGACCTCATTGGTCGAGCCACTTTAAATATTTGTGTCCTCTTCTCTTCTCTACTCTTCCTTCCTTCATTTTATCTTTGATTTCATATTGTTGAATGTGATTAATTCAAAAATCTCTTTGAAAGTTTTAAGGGTATTTTCTAGCAAATGAGAAACGTTTGATATCAATTGAACTGATCACAACAATAATAATCTAATAAAACCGGTGAAGTGAAACTATTAACTTCAACAGATTTATTTCGCTAACCGTACAGATTGGTCAACATTTCAACACTCACTGTCAGAGGAAATGCACTCATTCAAAAATAGCCAATTGTGGGTTGGTGAGGCCATCAGTAAGAACCTCGGCTTTCAAATGAGAACATTTACTTATTATACATAACTATAGAACACAGCTTCGTACACCCATTATACCAAAAAGATCAAGGGAAAAAGGGTATGGGGGCTGTTTGATTTTATTTAGACAAACTGGTCGAGGTATTCTTCCACAGTTGTATATCGAACATCTGGGTACAGCGCTGAAGCTTCCACTCCAAAAGATGGCTCAATATCAAAGTTAGTTTGAGATCCCCTCACCTGTGCAGTGTGACAGAGTGCCAATTCTATATTAAGTGGATATGAGGCCTCTGCAAGAGATGATTAACAAAAACGAATGTGTTAATCAGTTTGTGTTTTAGAAGCATGACAGATTATGAATTGAAAAGTTGTTGTTTGGTAAAACCCACCTTGGATGTTCTTCAACACCTCCTCCTCTGGGACATAGACCCTTCTAAGAGTCTTGCCAATTTTTCTTTCCCACAGCGAGACCAGATCGTTGGTCGAGTAGATGTTGGCTGCGGGTCTAATGTACATGATCTTGTTGAGGGTTCTTGGATCATCTATTGCTCGGATGGTGTACGTCCCAACGTCTTCTTCCTTGTTGTAAATCACTTCACCAAACAAAACAGACACATAATGAATAGGGTGAATGACGAAACAAACTCGATATCTCCCTTCATCAAACTGCTTACGAATGATGCTTCATGTTGTAGTCAATTATTTATAACGTGTGTGTGTGTGTGTACAAGTTTTGTTTATTAGAAGAGCTTCTTCCTTGTTGTAAATCACTACTTCACAAAACAGGTGCAGAATGAACAGTGTGGGAGGCTATTGAAACCAAACTCTTATTGTAGCCAATGATATACAACATGTGTCTATGTTATGCATAAGTTTTTGATGAATGAAAAACCAATGAAACGCATCAATAGCTATTGAATATCCAGGGGGGTTACTACGTTGGAAGCCATTTCAACTCCAGAAAATGAGATAATAGTAGTGCACAACAATCCATCCAACAAAACAAAAGGTTCAATAAGAACTTGAGAGGATGCGGTTAACATATTTGTACCTTTGGGAGTTCCATCCCCTAAGATTACGACTTTGTCTCTAGGTGGGACGGATGCATCTGGCTGAGACAAGTTGCTAAGAAAGTAACCATCGAAGAAATTGCATACCACGAATGTGTGTGGGATTCCCTCAGCCTCAACAACCCTACGAAATTCAGCCTTTGCAGTGTACATTGATTTTGCTGGCTCCACCGCGTCGATGTGATCGGCATCGTTGCCGAACTCCGTAGGAAAGAATCTCTGTACCACAAAAATTCCAATGCTCAAAATTTCCAAAACACACAAACTCTATAGAAGAATGCATATTGCAACAAAGCAATCACAATCAATGGCATAGTTGTAGGCAAAATGTAGATAAAGATTGGCAGGGAAATGAGGTTACCTTGACATTGCCAGCTTGTTTGATAGCAGATAGGATCTTATGTTGATGGGGAACCATATGACCACCGAGGGTGGATATCACCACATCAACTTGCTTTATCGCCTTAACCAAACTCTCATTGTCGAAGAGATCGCCCTGCCCCAATCATATCAGCGTTTTAGCGAAATTAAACAATACCATTTCCACTCCGAAAATTCATTTTGATTCCACAGAATTTACAATAAGAACAACTCAAAAGAACCACCAGTATATGCTGCATTACAAGTAATCACTTCGATTTAATCAAATCAAACTCAGTTTACTCATTCGCTAACAAAATAGTAAAGCAAGAAAATCAGGCACATTATTCAGCAAAGGATTCCACAAAAATTCTGAGCAATGAAACAACAAAATCCAGAGAAATAGAGGACAGAGTACTTACGAAGAGAAAATTGACCCCTAGGCTTTTGAAATGATTGATGATTTGAGACTTGGCAGAGCTTCCGAGCGAAGACTTGCGGATCAATGCATAGGTAGGATGACCGGCTTTGGCGCTAGCTTGTACAATGAATTTTCCGATGTAACCAGTTCCACCAATTATTAGAACCTTGAGATTCTGAGCCATCGAAGTAAGGTTTCCGGCGAAGAATAACCTGATCGGAGAACTACCGGCGAGCTGCAAAAAGAAAGAAGAAGAAACAGGGAGAGTTCCTTTTTCGTCGTACAGAAATATTGCTTTGACGAATGGGGACTTCGGAGTTCGAAATTCCCGTATTTATATATATATAATCTTAAAATGTCAAAAGTACCCCTACATGCTTTTTTTACGACCCTATTTATTATTATTTTTTATACTTTTAAATTTATAATTTACTATTAAATTTTAAAGTAAAAGATTCCACCTGACCGAACCACGTTTTAATTTTTAATTTAAACTTAATGAGTATTTGAAACTTATTACCAATTAATTAAAATCTATTAGATAATTATTTTATTTTTATTTTAAAAATTAAGTTTGGTTTTTCTCATTTTATTTGCAATAATTTTAATTTTATTTAATAAGGAAATATTTTAATTTTAAAAAAATAAGAACCATCCAGGTTTAGATAATTCAAATTATATTTTTAAAAAAAACAAACACAGTGAACGAATAAATATATTACTTAAAACTGTTTTAAATTAGCTTAAGATTCGATTAAAATAAAATAAAAAAAGGACAGAAGACACATGTGGGTTGGTGGGGGAAGAATGGCCGCCGCCGCCGCCGCCGACTTTATTGAAAGTTCTTCTAGAAGGTCAACATTGGCCGACTTACAAAATTGCTAGAAATACTACAATAAATAAATAAATAAATAAATACTACAAAATTGTTAAAAATCGTCTGTCCACCCTTAGATTTTTTTTTTTTTTTTTTTTTTT